ACAAAATTGTATTGGTTACAGGCAAGTTCAGCGATAACCTAATTTATAACGATGAATAAAGATTATTTGTTAAGAAAGGCTTTGTGGTAGAGTTAAAGCAATATTGTCTGCTGCTGCTCCTATTTCTCCTGATGTGATGGATTTTTTGAAAATTTGTTTTTCCGCTGATGTGTTTGAAGGTTATGGTCAAACTGAAAATGCTGCTGCTTTGACAATCGTGCGTATAATTTTCATATTATTTATAATTTATAGATTATTTTGTAAATCTGGTCAAATTGATCTAGTTATATGATTATAATAATTATAAAAAAAAAAAAAAGTTTATAATTTGACCAATTTACCTGTATTAAAATAAGTTGTCAAAACCAATCTTGATTATTTTTTATTAACCAAAATAATTATAAATATAGTCACTATATGGAGATCTGACATCAGGTCATGTAGGACCGCCACAAGCATGCGGTGAAGTTAAATTGGTTGATGTACCCGAAATGAACTATACATCAAATGATAAACCGTATCCACGAGGTGAAATATGTGTTAGAGGCAATGCTGTATTTAAAGAATATTACAAAGAACCAGGGAAAACAAAGGAAGTAATCGATAAAGAGGGTTGGTGCCATACTGGTGACATTGGAATGTGGGATGAATTAGGTAGACTTGTAATTGTTGATCGTGTTAAAAATATTTTTAAACTGGCTCAGGGTGAATATATTGCTCCTGAAAAGGTATGCTGTGTTTTATTATTTTGTTTTGTATCATTTTATGAAATAATTAATTCTTTTGTTTCTATTTATTATTAGATTGAAAATGTTTACTGTAAACACGAATTAATTTCTCAAGCATTTGTATATGGTGAATCACTTCAAACATCATTAGTTGCTGTAATTGTACCTGATCATGATGCTTTAATTTTGTGGGCTAAACAAAATAATTTGGAAAAATACTCATTCGAAGAGCTATGTGAACTTCCAGACACTAAGAAACATATTCTTCAAACTCTGGTTAATTATGGTAAAACAAATGATCTGAAAGGATTTGAGAATGTGAAAAATATATATTTGACAACAGAAGGTTTTAGTGTAGAAAACGATTTGTTAACTCCTACTTTTAAATTGAAGAGGCATCAAGCTAAAATTAAGTTCCAGAAGGAAATTGAAAAGTTGTACTCTGAAATATCTCAAACTTAGGATAAAAATTATTTAGCACAATAATTAAATTTATATAATGTTATGTTATTTAGCATGATAATTAAATTTATATAATGTTAATTGTTATTTACTATTTCAAATTATTTACATTATTATTATTATTTTATCCTTGCATTGCACTATTTGATGACAGATTTCATATTCCATTTTAAGAGTTTTAACTCAATGAAGTTAAGAATCAGCACTCGATAACAAATTTATAAAGAGAATTTTAAATATTTATTATTACACTTTATTGATCGAAATATCATATATTTTTGTTTATTTGACTAATTTTCCAAATAAAGTCATAAATTTTAATCCGATTTTCAGCATAACCTAGTGTTTCAAAATTCAGTTCGGCAGGTCGAATTCTTCTTTCATTAATTAACTGTAAATTAGTTAACTCATGCTCACATATAAAGCCATGCAATATTAATTTTTTTCTTTAATAACATGGAATCAGAAAATTGGGTTCTATCGGTCCTATCGGGTAATTCCTGAAATTAAGATCTCCATCTGGGGATGACGGATTAATTTATGAAAAATAAATAGCAAAAAGCGAATGATTCTTTTTTGCCAAACCAATTTTGTTTAGTTTTATATGCTGGCAACTTATTAAGAAGGATTTTTGTTTTAAAAAATTTTAACTGGTTTGTATTGGAAAAATATTTGCGAATTTTCAAAACTGCAAATTTTCTTACAAATTTTACAAGAAATCAAAGAAAACAACAAGAAGCAGCATTAAATCAAAGTTTCTTGTGATTGGCATAATTAGAACTCAAAAAAATAGATCTACGGGTCATGCAAAATGAAAATTATCTTGCGTGACCTTATAATTGATAGCTACCAATTTAAAATTTAATCGATATTAGACAATGGAAAAACCATTTGATAATGGTTATTGAATTACAAGATTCTTGGAATAACTAAGTCACTAGATTTGTAGTGCACATATAATTGATTGGATTAGAAGCATAAGGAAGTTTGTAAATATTAAAGTATTGAGAATATGATGTGAAGTGGGAACTGAGATCAATAAACACTAAGAATTTAAGCTAAACATTATATAGTATATAGTGAGTATTATCAACTTTTGGTATATTTAAGAATGAAGTAATTTTGAGGTTGGCTAAAAATGGATTAAGGTTTAAAAATTACATTAGAACGTTTAAGTAAAAATAGGTGAACCTAAAATTCTTGACTGAGTGAAACGATCAACACCATTTTGACATGACTTATTTATACAAAAAGAAGCATATATTGTAAAAAATAAGCATATATATATTAAGGGCATTTACAAGTATTATGTAATTACCTCCCCCTCTGGAAATTTTCATTAGACTGACCTAGTATTAACCTATAGTTAGTCATTTGATTTTAGCTAAAGTCACATGGCTGTGCTTTAAAGCTCAACCATATGACTTTAGCTAAAATCAAATGACTAACTATAGGTTAATACTGGGTCAGTCTAATGAAAATTTTCAGAGGGGGAGGTAATTACATAATACTTGTAAATGCCCTAATACAAGTAACTAATTTTCTACTTTTTATAAATATAAATTTCTTCGCATGCCATTGCAAGACTAGAATCGGGTAACAATCCGGTTATCAAATAATCTGAGTGATTTAAATAACGTTAACGTTAAGTATTCTAAAATATATAATCATATACTGTACTTGAAGTTTCAATTCAAGTACGGATTCTTGTATAACAATATCTATGTAGTGTAACCATTTTCAACTATATAACGTTAGTCAGAATTTAATTTGGATTTTACAAACTTATCAAAAACGAAGATGGCAATAAAGCATTTAGAAAAACTTTCGACTGATTACCTTGAACTTCTTGATGATAAAGAAGATTTTAATGTAATCATTAATATTGGAGAATTACCAAACAGCAAAGTATTCCGAGCACATTCAAATGTTTTAAGATATAGATCACTATATTTTCGTGATAAATTGGCAAACGCTAGCAAAGACACAAATAATATTAAAACAGTTAATCTAAACCATGTTAATATTCAACAATTTGAAATTATTATTAAGTAAGTTGCTAACTTATGTATTTTTAATAATATCGAAATATGCATTAAAAACTAATCATTAAATTTAAATATACAAATATAATAAAGATATATTTATGGAGGGGTGGTTTCATTGGAAAATCAAGATGCATCATTAATTTTTGAACTTATGCTCATTGTTTCAGAGCTTCTTTTAGAAGAATTAGCTAAACATTTTGAAAACCATTTAATTGAAACAAAAGCTAATTGGCTTCGTTTACATTTTACACGCATTTATCAAACATGCTTCCAAGATAATCAGTTTCAAATTTTACAAAATTGGTGTAATGATCTTTTGGTAAAGTATCCAAATAAAATTTTTGACTCAGAAGATTTCACAACACTTCAAGAAAATGCATTAGTCACTCTTATTAAACGAGATGATTTACAAATGGAAGAAGTAAAAATTTGGAATTATGTCGTCAAATGGGGAATTGCACAAAATCCAGGTTTATCACCTGGTAAACTTGAAAATTGGACTAGTGAAAGCTTTCTAGCTTTAAAAAATACATTAAAAAATTGTTTACCTCATATCCGTTATTTCCAAATATCCGGAAATGATATTGTTGATAATATAGAACCATACCAAACAATCTTAGAAAGAGATCTTTGGAAAGACATACTAAAACGAATAGCGAACCCAAATCGACAAATATCATCAATAGTTCTTCCACCTCGAGTAATTTTAACACCAAAATTACCAACGCGTACGACAGATCCATTTTCAACAGTTATTACTGAAGAACATGCTGCAGAAATTGCGACATGGGTTGATAAGAAAGCTGAACCATATTCAACAGCAAATAATCCGTATGAGTTTAAATTACTTATTCGTGGAACCAGAGATGGTTTTACTAAAGATTCATTTTGGAAAATTTGTGACAAGCAAGCAAATACTATTGTGCTAATGAAAGTTAAAAACTCTGATGAAATTTTTGGTGGTTATAATCCTTTAAAATGGGATCAATCAATTAACAATCATGTAAATTGCAATGATAGCTTTATTTTTTCATTGAAAAATGGTACTATTCTTTCCTCTATTTTAAGTCGTGTAAACAATCCACAATATGCAATTTATTGTGGTTCGGAATATGGTCCATGTTTTGGTGATCTTTGGATGCGGAATAATTTTAATCAAGATAATGGATGTGGTTATGAATTTTGTTATGATGAAAAAGCAATTAGAAATGCAAACGGATGGTTTTCAGTAACAGAATACGAAATAATCCAAATGCAAAGAAAATAAAGTTAAATGTAATTAAAGTTTAGAAATTAATCTGAGTTTTTTAATTAATGTCGCATAAACAGTTTATACATACAGTTGATAGTTTTTAAGTGATGATAAGAATGTTCTTAAATGTATTATGGAGCAAATAAACATTCACAAATAAATTTAATACTCAGAATATGTTTATTTTTGATTGATAAATAACGTCATAAAATTCTATTAAATGAGCCATAACTTATGTCGTAAAGCATAATGGAATGCATTGGAGAATAAATTTTACTTAATGGAAAATATTTAAGAGGATCAAATGTGTTTATTTAAATAAAATTGTAGTTTAACAAAATTTATTACGTAATTGATATATTTTTATTAGTAAAAATAATTCACTTCAATTTAATTTACAATTAATTGAGTATTCAAAGAGTAACCAACCAAAGATAGTGATGACTAGGGATGGGTTCGGTCACGAACGGTCACAATCATTCATAATCAATTTGCTAAATACTGAGATGATTTTTTACTTTTGAGCTTTTAATTAAAGCTGTTCAGAATTAAATTCTGAACAGCTTTAATTAAAAGCTCAAAAGTAAAAAATCATCTTAGTATTTAGCAAATTGATTATGAATGATTGTGACCGTTCGTGACCGAACCCATCCCTAGTGATGACATTTGATAAAATATTAATGAATTGCGCAAATATCAATTAAGTAACAATTACAATTCTTATCTTGATTTGTTATAGCTTATCTTGATTTGTTATAGTAAACGGGCATCGTCACATTTATTAGCTAATCGCATAGAGAATAATGTCTGTGTACACTTTGTTTACTTTTTAATTTTTGGTATCAAAAATATAATTATAGTTGTGCTAAATACGATCACAATCAAGGTTAAAGCTTGAGAATGGCATTATTCCCACAGGGTACTTTCATCTTTTACATTTACATTGATTTTTGTCACGCGTTTTTGTAATTGCATAATAGATACTTCTCGAATGCTTATATGTGTTGAAAAAAAGTACTGTTAGAAATTACTAAATATTTATCACATTTTATATATCTAATTATTGTGTATATTTCTAAATTTTGAATCAGAATTCTTTATCCCTTAGCCTCTATCTAAATTAGAGGCAAATTTGCCTTTAATTTTTTAATAAAATATTTATGATTAAATTTTTTAAAAAATTAAAATATTTAAATTCAAATTTTTTTAATAATTTTTGAAAATAAGAATTATATAATTGTAGTATTTGTATGGTGCTGGAAGCTTATACTTAATGATTACATGAAGTGTTTCAAATTTATTTTGTTACTTATTCTTATTTAATTTGTTATTTATTATATATATTATTTTAATAAATCATAATTTAATAGAATTTATCAAAAGAAATAATTTGTATTATTATAATTTTTATAATTTACTTGTAAAAATTTAAACTTATATTAGAAACAAAAATATTTTTTGTTTTGAAAATATATAAAATTTTAGAAAACCTAATTTAAATCTAATAATAAAATGTTTTAAATAATAAACTTTAAAATTTAATTACTTAAAACTTTCTAATAAAAGTAAAAAATTTTTTAATTAAGTTAATAAAATATATTTTTAAAAATATTTTTTATAAAGATTATAGACTTTTTATTATTAATAATTTTTGAAAAATTTAAAAATTTATAAAATTTTTATCAAATTGAAGATAAATT